GTTTGCTCAGTTTCATGCTTATTGCTTCAGTGATGCTATTTAACCATCTCATCCCCTGCCGTCCTCTCCTCCTTTTGCCTTCATGTAAGGTGAAGGTAGCGAGTACTACCAAACGTAATTACGAGTCCAGGTTCAGGCGTACATTGTGGCAATAAGGTGGTGAAGTCTTAGTATTTCTTCAACCATATTGCAGTAACAGAATGGCATCCTATGATGTCCTTTAAAGCAGGGTTCCTCAACCTTCAACTCGCAGAATTCCCCAGCCAGCATTCTGGGAGTTGAAGTCCACCCATCTTAAAGTTGCTAAGGTTAAGGAACCCTGCTTTAAAGCAGTTTGTGCCTTATTAGGGAAAAGTGCCTTCCGTCTGGCTGCTGTGGGATGTTTGCTAGTAATTTTGCTGACAAAATTGCTTGTGCCAGTTTTGACTCTTCCCAGCTGAATCTCTGCCCCTCATGGCTGGTTTACACCTCCTGTGAGGTGGCAGGAAGTTGAGTAATAATCAATGCTTTGTTGAGTCAGGGGTGGCGCCTCCCCTACTCAAGCAGCTGTCATTCAATCTGTTTTGGATAACTTTATGCAACCTTCCTTTCTAGGAAGAGTTGCGAATAAACTGGTGATCCTGCAACTTCAGAAAGCCCTACAGAAAGTAGAATGTTTGGATTCTTGGCAGTTAAGTTTCAGGCCAGAATACAGCATGGAGACTGCATTTGTTGTGCTTGTGGATGACCTTTGGAAAGGCCAAGATTAGGGAGTACAACTCTCTTGGTCCTCCTTGACCTCTCATAGCTTTTAGTAGTACCACTGAGCTTGGTATTCTTCTGGACCATCTCCAAGGGATTGGAGTGAGAAGCACTGTCTTGTATTGGTTGTTCTCCTTCCTGAAGCAGAGGTTCCAGATGGTGGTAGTGGGAGAGATCTGCCCTAAGACCTCTACTTTGTGGAGTGCCTCAGGGTTCTCTCCTCTCCACTCCTTTTTAACATCTACAGGAAATCCTGGGAAATATAGTCCTCTAGGCATGAGGTTTGGTGTCATCAATATATGGATGATACTCAGCTTTACATCTTATGCCTGGGCAAAGAGATGTTGTGCTAGAAGTACTGATCCAAAGCCTTGAGGCTATCAGGTTCTGGATGGAGAGGAACAGACTCCAATCGAATCTCTCCAAGTCAGTGTTGCTTTTGGTTCATGGACCTAATTCTAAGGAAATTCTACTGTTGATTCTGAGTATGGATGTCTGCATTTGGGGTTTCTCCTAGAACCTCAGCTAAGAGACCTTTTGCATGGCTACATCTTGTGCACTAATTGTGACCATTCCTGGACTAGACACCCTGCTCAGAGTCACTCATGACCTAGATATCTCTTATTTGTATTATTACATGGGGCTGCACTTAAAAGAGCATTTGGAAGCTGCAGCTGGTATAGAATGTGGCAGCCTGGGCTGTGATGGGTGTGTGCGAGAGCTGCACTGGCTGCCAGTCAGCTTCCAAGTGTGAATTACTGATTATCACCTTTAAGGTCCTATACAGCTCCAGACCTGGTTATCCAAGGATTAGAGTTAATCTAACATCAAATATGGTTAACTCCATCCAGGTCTTGTGTATGGGACTGTCATATGGTAGGGCCTCAGAAGTGGACATTTTCAATAGCTGCCCCGATTCTTTGGAACCCTCCGAGCTGAGTTCTCATCAGCTTTGTCCCTCTTAGGCTTCAGGAAAATGTTGAAGACCCACCTGTTCTACCTGGCACAGGAAGAGGGTGTGTACAACTGAAGGTGAGATCTGCAGTCTAATGATAATTATATTCTCTAGTTTTAAAATCTTTTTATTTTGTCATTATTTATATGCACTTGGGATTTGGGATTATTGTTTTATTCTATGTTGACACTGTTAACTGCTCTGGGTCTCTTCTGGAATGAGCAGCACAGAAGCAAAATAAAGTAGATAAATAAATATGCTCAGACTTGTACTCCATATAGGCAGGATCAGATGAGGTGTCTGGGGAGGTGATCATCATCTTATTTGGGATTTATTTCATTTCATTTTGTGATCTTTGAGGAAGTGGACAGGGTTCCTTGTGGTATGAGTTCTATCACCTGTGGGCTGGTTCCATGCCCCATCTGTCTCTTTCAGTTGGCTGACGATGTGAGTGTAGTTGGATTTGAGATGCTCACCAAGTGCTTTGCTTAGAGAGGGGGTGGTATCTTTTGTCTTAGAGGCATTGGTATGCTACCTTCTGAAGAAGTCATCTCTTGCTCCGATAGTGTTGGATTACTCCAACCCAACATAGAAATCTTGTTACATAGTCCTCAACTATATATTATCTATGGCAAAATAGCCAAATCATATGGGTAGAAGCACTAAACCATTTCTGATACTTTTTTTCCCTCAGCTCAGCTTAATTCCCAGTTGAGTGTTATGTCAGAAGAGAACCTAGCTAGGAGAAATTTCCTGGTAGAAGGGTCTGTGTTACAAAATGTTGGATATTGGGGATTGTTCAGGACCCTGAATCATAAACTCTTCTACCACTCTTGTAAATAGAGAGCCACTTTGGTATAATGGTTAAAGGCAGCAGAAGACCGTGAGTTCTAATGCTCCTATGAAACCAGCTGAGTGACTTTGGGCCCTGTTATTCTCTCAGTCCTATGAAGAAGGCAAGGGCAAACCACTTCTGGAAAATCTTGTCAAAAAAATTGCATGGACTTGTCTGTCTAGCACCAGGAGTCAATAGTGACTTAAAGACACACACACACACAAGTTTATATATAAATGGGACAGATTCACAATTAAAGATATGGCTCTGCTGCCATGATATGAATACTGAGTCAGGAGTCCCTCATGCATTTATCTCAATAAAATAAGAAGCCAAAACTTGAATATAAATTTGTCCAGATCAGATGCAAACTGTCTAGGCAAAGTTAATTAAACTTCTAGGCTAGTGATGGTAAATGTCTGAAAAGAGACGTACTATCACTACTAACATTTAAAAATTGAGACAACATCAAAAGGTCAGTCCCCAGAAAGTTGTAGCACTGATGTCAAAAGCTTATCATTTAGTTGTCTCTTGTGGTTTTCCTTCTTCAAGAATACCACAGTATCATATTTACTGATTTATGTGGAAACTACAGGGAAACCTCCTAAGTAATGAAGGATGAACCTCAGAATGATCCCGCTAACATTAAGAAGATAGGAAACAGGAGATAGAAACTAAAATACCCTACAATACCTGGAGCACTTTCAGTGTTGAATTAATATCTGTAGTTAATGATCTATACTGTTACACACAAAAGTTCACCAACTGCACAAGTCCTGCTTTCAGCATTATAATGTTTCATGAATATTACTAATCTCACCTAAGAATTCTCATATAGCATGAACTGTAAATATCACATATCTCAGCAGCTTGAGGACAAATTGGCAATTGAGCATTTTGAGCTCCTTAGACAATCTGTGTTAGGTCTGTGCAGTATTTTAGATTCAAAGGCAAAAAGGGGCTTTTGGAGAACTCTTTGAAGCAGATGCACCTCTTCTGGGAATGGTACTAATTTCAGTTTAATGAGTTGCAGACGGGTCCTTGCTCAAAAGCACCTTTTTGCCTTCATACCTGAAGTTTTGAACAGCCTTAATAGGTACACCAATAAAAGAATGTTGCTACTGCAGTAAACAATTGAGTACCTAGCACAGTACTTACCTACTTGCTACTGGTTTATCCCATCCATCATCACTTAGCCCTGTATCCTGGAAGGAGTTGATTCGGGGCCTATTTGGAGGAGATAAACTGCCCCTTTGTTTTGGACTTCTCCATTCAAAGGTATTGAAGTTATATCCTGAAGCCTGATAACTGGGACCTAAAAAATTAACCGTATGTTGATTACTGGTGATTATTTAAAATAAGAAAAATATAATGTGAAATTTATTCTTCCAATCATTGTATGATTTAGCCATTATTTCCTCTACCAAATATATGTAGATTATAAATATAAGCTAGAATTAACTTGTAGCTCCTTCCCTGAACCGTGCTTGGAAGGGCAAACTGAAATTATGTTATACACTCAAAAACAATCTTATCATGTGCAACAGTCTAACAAGCAAAACTTATCATTCCATTTTAATGGCTATGCTGATTGCTCTCGTTTTTGCACATTGCACGCAACACTGTTGAGAACATCAGTGCTATTTGAAATAGTTATTTTCTAGATCTATTCATCTACTACAGCAAATATGGGGAACTTTTCTGGGAGCCACAACCCACTCACTTGACCAGAGGGAGAGCCATGGGTGATATTACCAGAAGTGTGGGGGGGGGTCGGGGCATGTCTTCCTTCCTTCCTTCCTTCCTTCCTTCCTTCCTTCCTTCCTTCCTTCCTTCCTT